AAATGGTTGGTTATACGTTAGAGGCAGTTACATGAGATAGATTGTAAGAACCTCAACAATTACCGTAACTATAGGCTTATAATGGCAATTGGGATCAGAAGTGCCAATCACCAAATGACATTGTTATGAACTGTGATGTCACATAGCCGTGGTGACAATGCAGTTGCCAGAACTATGAGACCCATAGTAAATAACATCCAGTCACCACAATTGTAACTTTGAATAGCTGCTGAACAAATGGCAGTAACCCAATGTCTACCTATATTGTAATGTGTCAAAAATCCATTGAGATAGCCTGAAACATTTGATTTATGTGAGTTAAGCAATGTTTCACTTCATTGTACTAGGTTTTTTTCTGCCAAGATACTTACTTAGAGATCTGAAATAAAATGTTTAATCCATATACCTGGAAAGGTGTAGTAGGTGTCGATTCTGTTTTCTCTGTGAAGTCATCATCTTTTTTATCTAGAATGCTTGAGGTTTCAGTTTTTGTGGACCGTGATGATATGCTCTATTAAATTAGGGAAAACTATTAATTCTACACTTATATGGAGATATATTTCGTTAGCATCAATCTGACTAAAACAATACAACCTAAGATCAAGATTAGATCAAGATTAGCTATATTGATTCTAAATTCTAATTTTCTATTTTCTTAATTAAAAGACCCTTACAAACCATATTTTAATAATTTTTCCAGTTAAGATAACTTACCTGACGCCTTTTTTCTATCTTTCTTTATCATAACTATATAATTATTAGCATTAAAGACAGTAAAATGTTACTGTATAAGATTTTCATAGTGGAGTTTTGTATGTTGGAAGAACTACAGTTATACTAAGAAATGCATTCCAAACATAGATGATAAAAAGATACAAAATTGGCAGCTTCCTAATTCCTCTTTAATTACATATTCTTATTTTACAAATTAACGGGTGGATAATGCATATTGAATGTTTTCATAGTTGTGACGAAATCAATACCTGTACTACAGAGTTTAAAAAATACTCATCCTTATCCTGTGCCTGTAAAGCAATGGTCTGAAAATCATAGCCTGCTTTTTATGTTTGTACAAGGGTTCTATTTGGAGGATGATAGATAATCCTTGGCTTACAACTATTCATTTAGCAACCATTGAAAATTACAATGGGACTAAAACAAGTTATTTATGACCAGTCCTCATATTTAAAATGGTCACAGCTTCCTTGCAGTCATGTGATCATGATCCAGGTGCTTGCCAACTGGCCTGCATGTACAATAGTTGCAGCATCCTAGGGTCACATGGTCTCTATTTGCAACCTTTCCAGCTACCGTATTTGCCGGCGTATAAGACGACTGGGCGTATAAGACGAGCCCCCAACATTTCCACTCAAAATATAGAGTTTGTTATATACTCGCCGTATAAGACGACCCCCCCACTTGGAGGCATGTTTTTCAGGGCAAAAAAGTCATACGCCGGCAAATACGGTAAGTTGTAACACTTGGGGTATTCTGGATATAATTCTTGATTGACACCCCCGCCCCTTTCCCCCAAACTTACAAAGCCACCAAAATGCTTTAGAGAGGCAGCTTCGCCTTTCTCAGACTGGCACTCAATTCCTCTCCCTTTCTTTGTGACACCGTTGAGCGATCTGCTTTTTTCAGGGGAAAATAAATAAATAAAAATAAAACTGGACGAAAAACAGTCGAGTTGTTTCTTAATATCTTTCCACCTCCCCAACCAATTTGTCTCCAAGGGTGCACCACACTGATTGCGACATTAATTATTTCAGAGAGAGAGGGTGGGGGGGGGAGAAATCTTTGCTTCCTACTGTGGCTTTTTCCTGCGCATCGTTTTTTCCCTTGGCTTTGTGGTTGTTACTTCTTACAGGGAGGGATAATGAAATACCCACGCTGGGAGAAAGCGGAAAGGATGTCTATTTTCCTGCTCACTAACTTTCCAGAAAGCGTCGAGTTCCTACCCCGAGACTTGCCAAAAGTCCAGTTCATTCATTTGCTACCTTTCTCCAATGAGATCCAGATCTGTTTCCACAACGCGGTTAGGATCTTATCTTATTATCTTATTATTATCTTATTAGCCTTGCTCGGTCCGTCCAAGAGAGAAGAAGGCAGACGGTTTTGCGCTCAGGGAGAAAGGAAAAGAGCCTCTGGCTCACGCTGCACACTGCCCCCCCCTCCACCCCAGCAACGCTTAGGAAAAGAGTTACACAAGCATCCTTTCCAGAAGTGAATGGGGCGGGGGAGGATTCGGAGCAAAGGCTGAAACCGGGAAGAGAAAAATTCCCAAAGAAAATCGCACGAGCAGCATCCCATTCCTGGGAGAAAAACAAAAAAACAAAAAACACGAACTCTTCCCGAAGCACAAAAGCAAGGATGGCGCTTTCTCAGCTTTGAGCTGCGTCGCTGCTCTCCCTCCCCCTCCACTCATCCCCACGTGCGGCGAAGTTTCTGCCACTGGGGGGGGGTGGAGGGGGATGGAAGGAGGTGAGGGATGGGGGCAAAGCCTGGAGCCTGCCTGTCCGCTCGCACGAGCGGAGTGGGTGGGTGGGGGAGGAGGAGGAAGAGAGACTCCGGCTGGGCTTGAAGGGGCTTCGCAAGTTGCGGAGCTCCGCCCCCGTCGCTCTTGCACCGAGTGACAACAACGTATTTGCCGGCGTATAAGACGACCTTTGTTATATACTCGCCGTATAAGACGACCCCCCCACTTGGAGGCATGTTTTTCAGGGCAAAAAAGTCATCTTATACGCCGGCAAATACGGTAGTTTATGACAAGCAAAGTCAATGGGGAATATAGCAGGGTAAGTCACAAATTTCAGTCACATGTCTATGGAAATATATCTCGTTTGCATCAATCTGACTAAAACAATACAACCCAAGATCAAGATTAGATCAAGATTAGCTATATTGATTCTAAATTCTAATTGTTAAAACCATGGTGATTCATTTAACAACCATGGCAAAAAAAGTCATAAATTGGATGCAATCACATGATGTCACTTAACAACTCTCTGCTTAATGATGAATTTGCCAATCCCAGTTGTGGCCATAAATTGAGGACTATCTGTATTTAAAAATGTACACTGCATAAATCATTTATATACTCAAGTTATTTTTTCATATTAAATGTAAATAACAATTTTCATCAAATATGTTATTTACAAATAATTTATTTTCACAAGGGAATGTAAATATAAACTTTTTTATTAAATAAGATTGGTATGCACTTGAAGTTTGTATTGTTTATCTCCAAAAGAACACCTATAAGAGCCAATAAAATTTTATTTGACTCCTATTTTGGAAAAAAAGGACAGAAAAATCCAATAATAAATCCAATAATAAATGCAAATCCAAAATCCAATAATAAATGGACAGCTTATAAAAGTTCAAAATGTTTTATGAGGTATTTTCTGACATTACTTTATGTCTATGAAAATTCTCAATCATCAGGTCATGGTAGTTCAGAATTGACGAAGATTCTTGGATGAGAAGCAAAACTTTTTTAAGGAAAAAGCAATCAAGTCCATTAGTTATGCTTGCATAAACAATATTGACTCTTCTTCAGTAAAATGTGTCTCTTCTTCTATATGCCAAATAATTTTATATAAAAATCTCACTTTTTATTAATACACTCTAATATTCATCTTTTCTAGTATTACAGTTAGGTGTTCACATACTGTGTCCTAAATAGGATACTTTGAGCTTGGTCATTTGTGACTCAAGTGAGAATTGGGATTGATTTATTTGATGATCCATTAGTTTGCTTTCTTGGCTATCAACAGTAATCCCAGGGGTCCTGTCCAACATCGAAGTCCAAAAGCATATTCTTTCTATCCTGCTTTTTGGAACTGAAACTCTTTATAAAATTCCTGAGATTTTTGTCTTTCTTGGTTTTGGCTTCTGTCCTTTTTAGTAATTACCAATTTGTTCAGAACAGGCTTTCTTCTCTTTCTTCATTTTTGACAGTCTCTTTTCACATTTATCTTTAACAATTTCATTAAGTTCATTCCATAATTCCTCTGATTCTCTTTCAGTGAGGTTGAGGACTTCAGAATGGTTCCTGATGTTCTCCTTGAAAATGGCGGGCAAATGTTCAAATCATGTTGTAGAAATTAATTGGCTTTATTTTTCTTCTTTTGCTTAATTCAGAACTTGCACATGATCTATTCCAGTCAGCATCTTGCTATGTCTCTAATGCTACAACTGAGCTCCTCCACCTGCTTTTAGCAATAATGTGGTCAAATTGATTTCTATATACTCCATCTGATGTCCATGCATGGTTTTGTTTGTCTGACGACAGTGTTAGCTATGAAAAAAATCATTAAAGTGGCTGAAATGGGTAAGTCCATCTCCTGCTTTATTGAGGTTTCCTAAACCAACTATATTTTCTTCTTTCCAGTCTCAAATCACAAGCAGCATATCTTGCTTGCATGTTCTGTAAAGTTCAAATTGAACTTGAACTTGATTTAGAACTCATCAACTCCCTCTTCTTCTGCATTGATGGTAGTGGCATAAACTTAAGTGGTCATCATATTAAGGATTGTCCATAAAATCTAATCAGTATTATTTGCTCACTGATTGCATTGCAGCCAAGTACTATTCTTGCTACATTCTTCCTAACTGTAAAAGGAATTCCATTCCTTCTTCGTTTTTCATGTCCTCAGTACTAAAAAGTGTGATCTTCCAACAACAAAAAAATGCCCAATCCTATTCCACCTCAGTTTGCTGACGCCTAAGAGGTCAATTTGCAGTTGTTTCCTTTCATCTTTCATTATGTTGAGCTTTCCTTTGTTCCTGATTCTTAAGTTCCTACCATAATTCTGCATTTACAGCTCCATATTTTCTTTTCCAGTATGGCAACATCATCTACTAGATGTCCCAAAAGTTTTAATCTAGCCATATAATAACCACCTTAGTTTCTTGTTCTTTTCCATTAGAAGGCTACCTGAGGGACCATCTTTTTCATTCCATCAGATTATGCATGTTGTACAACCAACCCATCAGCTAAATTGTCGACTGGCAGGAACTAGAAGATGGGCTGTCTCTGCTCCTGCTCCTGCTTTGTGGAATACTCTCCCCTCAGAGATTAGAATTTTCCCCAACCCTATTGGCCTCATAAGGCCTTAAACACCTGGCTACATACTTGGGCTTTGGGCTCAGAATGTGTTAAAGGTGCCATTTCTTGACT